CACACACACACACACACACACCAACAGACAAACTTAGCGGATTATATATAGTAGGATGACACGTGTACGACCGCTAAGCCAGCTCTATTCCAAATGCATGTGGTTTGTTTACAGAGACGTTATGAACAGCAGCAACTGACTTTATCACTCTTACCACAATTATCTTCCATCAGCAACTGCAGTGGAACCCTTTAAATGGCCCTCACTGAAGTTGCTGATGGAAGATAATTGTGGTAAGAGTGATAAAGTCAGTTGCTGCTGTTCATAACATCTCTGTAAACAAACCGCTCACAACAACAATGCGATCGATATGACTCAAGTATAACGATCTCAGTGATTCCAACAGAACTCATTCCTCACTGCTTATTAGTAACGACATCGTGTACGACCGCTAAGCCAGCTCTATTCCAAATGCATGTGGTTTGTTTACAGAGATGTTATGAACAGCAGCAACTGACTTTATCACTCTTACCACAATTATCTTCCATCAGCAACTTCAGTGAGGGCCATTTAACTGCTGAATGCGGTAGTGCATTCCAAAGCAAGACGCTTTAGGAAGACAGATTGCATAAATTATAGGCTGCTTCAGTGGCTGTCCAAACAGGCTGCACTATTTCCGTGTAGGTTATGAACGTACCAGTCGGATCGCTGGCTAAGGCCGGCTTTCCTCCTTCTGTGATGCGGGGGGGGGGGCTGCTGCTGCTTCTGCGCCTTGACGGAACAAGCGCTGCTTTTCAGTTCTTGGCTGATGCAGATTCCTTTGAACAGTGTGGTTGGTCAACGATCCTTAACTTAGCACGCGGCAAATCCGCATGGCCCGGCTATGCAGATTTGCCGCGTGCTAAGTTAAGGATCGTTGAGTTTAGGTCTGCGGAACATGTCACAGAAGGAGGAGCGCCCGGCGACAGCCGGGCGATCCGACTGGTTGTCAATAAACTTGCAGACCTAAACTTTCTGCTGCAACGCAATTTAGATTGTTGTCTCATTACAGAAAGCTGGTCACACGTAATTCACGACGCGGTCTTGAGTTTTGACTCCTCTCATGAGGTCCACAAATGCAATCGTGGTGGGGAAAGGACTGGAGGCGGAGTACTGGCGCTTATCCGGAAAGCAATCTCCCACAAGCTTATCATCAAAAAAGATTTCCATGGTTTCATCCAAACTATAATCATCCAGATACGAACTCAGGCAAGCAAGATTCTGCTAGTTCTTACATATCGAAGTCCCTCATGTTCCCTGCTAGCTTTTTCCCAATTCATTGACTTCCTTCACAATGTCTGCACTGAAAGTCGCGACCAAATAATAATAGAGACTTCAACTTCCCTCTTATTGACTGGGATAACATGACACACAGAGGGAACACCTCGACGCAATCTTCGACAGCGTTTCTCGAGTTCGCTAAGTCGTTTGATTTGAGACAAATTGTGAGGGAACCTACACATGGACTCAACATTTTAGACATTATACTGGTCTCCAGTCCTACCCCCGTCACAAAGCATCGTGTACTAGAACCCTTCAGCACTGCAGATCACAACTCTATTGAATTTGAAGTCTCATATTGTGCTCAAGTTAGTTCTGAAAAGAGCAGATGGTATCGTAATTTCCTGAAAGGTGACTACGAAGCCGTGATCTCAGCCTTATGTCAAATTGATTGGGTTGCTATCAACAACACATCTGCAACAATAGATATCTTTTACTCCAAGTTCGTTAGCATTTGTAATCAGCTGATTGAGAAATACATTCCCCTAACACGTCATGCTAGGCATCAAGAGAAATATCCAAAACGGGTACATTTTTTGAGAGCAAGAATTAGGTATCTTTATCGGAGGGTTTCTTCGGTGTATGACACCCAATACCGTGTTTGTGTGCAGCGGCTTAAGCGTACTCTTGCACGTCATCAGATAGCAACTGAGAAAAAGATAGCAGCGACTAAGAATTCTAAGCGTTTTTACTCCTATTGCAAGAAAAAACTCAAGCTCATGGATTCCATTCCTAATTTGGTCTCTCAAGAAGGAGTCATTGTTGAAGATGATGCCACCAAAGCAAACTTGTTTGCTGATTATTTCAAGTCTGTTTATAAATGAGCCGCGATACCGGTGCTTGCCTCCCTCCTCTAACTGACGACTGCTTGGACTGGATAGACATATCGAATGATCTAGTTTACAATTCACTTCGAAGGCTTCCCAGCAGAGTGTCAACGTCACCGGACAATATTCCTTACATTTTCTTGAAGAAGGCTGCCTTGGGGCTCACGTCTCCACTCACGGTAATGTTTAACAGGCTCTTGCTATGCGGGAAGGTTCCAAAACTATGGTACAGGCCGATATGTCTAACCAGCTCAATCAGCAAGGTTATGGAGCGCATCATATGTCGTAAGTTAACAGCCTACCTCGTGAGCGAAACCTGCTGCACCCGAGTCAAGACGGATTCCTCAAGCGTAGATCAATATTAGGTTGTCCGGAAAGTTCTCAGCGTTTTGAGTGTTTCACTTTAAACGATCATAACTTTCTTAATACTCATCGGATTTAATCCAAATAAGCACCGTTCGAATCAGCACACTTTTGCCAATGTGACAACAGTCGAGAAATCCCATCAAAGAAAAAACTGGGTGGTCGAGAATCCACGAAATCTACGAAGGCTTTTTTGCCTGGTCCTAATTGATGAAGTATTTTTCAGCAAGGAAGTTCTGAAAATGTTTGAAAAGGTGATAGTCGGTTGGTGAAAGGTCTGAAGAATATGGCGGGTGAGGTAGAACTTCAACCCCAATTCGTTCAATTTATGGATAGTGATTTGTGAAACGTGTGGGCGGGCGTTGTCATGCAAAAGAATCGGACCCTTTCTGTTGACAAGTGCTGGCTGCAGCTGACGCAATTTTCGGTACATTTCGTCGATTCCAGTAGGGTTCTGCTGTGATGGTTTGGCCTGGTGACAAAAAGTTATAGTGGATCACACCAGCCGATGACCACCACACTGTGACCATAATCTTTTTTTCGTGAGGATTCGTGGGGCTTTGGAAATTGCCTCGGTGGTTCGTCGGCATCCAACCACTGTCCGGAACGTCTCCTGTTATCATACATGATCCACTTTTCATCACAGGTGACAATTCGGTCCAAAAACGGGTCGTTTCTGTTGCGCAAAAGCAGTGAAGAAGAAACCTCGAGACGTGCCAATTTCTGCCGGTCACTCAAATTGTGGGGCACCCACTTGTCGAGTTTTTTCACCTTCCCAATGCGTTTCAGACCATCCGCAACAGTGGATTTGCCAACGCCTAGCTTTTCTGCAATCTCTCGAACTGTTTGGGATGGGTCAGCCTCCACAAACGCCTTCAAATCCTCGTCAGGTATTGCTTTAGGTCGAGGTTCATCTTCAAGGCTGAAATCTCCAGAACGAAATTTGTCGAACCATTGTCGCACGGTGCTTTCTCCAACACTATTGGGCCCCCACACCTGGTTAATTTGTCGAGCTGTCTCGACTGCGGATTGACCCAATTTTTAGTTGAAGAAAAATATCGTCCGAAGTTGCTCTTTTGACATGCTTCAAAAAGTCTTGGGAAAAGGGGGTTTATCAAGCAATGGTGAAACGGCAATTATACCATCAGATAGCGCAAAAAATTCTCTTCAGGATGTACTACTGAGACGCAAGGGAGAATGAGTTTTTAATCAGCAATGAATGTGCAAAAAATAGAATGTGGGCCTTAGAGATTTTCTGGAAAAGACAACAGTAATGGGTTTGGGTCGAACACATCCTGAATTCTCCTTCACTTTAGAAGACAAGCCGTTGACTCGGGTTCACCAGGTTCGCGACTTGGGACTAACCTATAGCGACAAACTCGATTTTGAGAGTTACATACGAGACAGAGTGCGCGCTGCATACGCCATCTCCAACTACATATTAAGAGCCTTCAAAATCCGGGATCCATCTTACTTATTTCGACTTTTCGTGCATACGTCAGACCACTGCTAGAATACTGCACACCGCTCTGGTCTCCTTGCAAGAAATACCTTATCGATGAAGTCGAAAAAGTACAAAAAAGTTTCACTTATCGATGCTTCATGCGCAGGGGTCTAACGACGTATTCCTATGAGGAACGCCTTCGCCTACTTGGTGCTGATACCCTTGAGTTCCGCAGGAAGTTATCTGACTTTTCCTTGATGTATAAACTTACAACAGATGAAGTTTGTTTGCAGCTGTCTGACCTTTTTCAGATTCCGCCTAACATAAATACCTCTCGAGGTCATCCTTATCGTGTCAGGCCTGAAAAGCCTAATTCCAGTGCATACGCAGGATCCTTCCTAGTCAGAGTTGTCCCTCTTTGGAACAGTCTGAATCCCGATTTTTTCAGGTGGAAGCGATCATGTACTTTTCAGAGTCACCTATTGAAATTCCTGAAACAGCAGGGTAGTCGCCAACACCTCTGAGAGCCGACAATTGACGTTCGGGTATTCGATTTTGAGAGGTTTGCTATGTGATGGTGCGCTGCGCCTGACAACCCTTGAAACACTTAACCCCGTAGTGCGGTAATCACACCACTTGGGGCACGGGATCAATGTCTGTTGTTTACTGTCTTCAAATTTTCCAATTCCTTACTGCGAGGTGAGCACTGCCATCTCCCTATACATGAAAAAACGGGATCATTGTTCAACAACATGGTAACTGATTTTGTAATATAAAATTTGATA